AATACAGAGTTTCCCAGCATTCCTTTAGGAACCTCCAACATGCAAACTGTGGTTACTCATCCTAAAATGAGTCCTCTTTACCTAGAGCTTCAATATTTGCTGTTTGCTGGGGAGATGTGTAGCTAAAAGTCAATCTACATTTACATCTGATTTTGGGGATAGTTCTTCATAACCAAACAAAAGTGTATTTTCTCTGCAGTTCACACCAGGGATGAAATGTAAAATTTGTTACTACCGGTTCTGTGGGCGTGGCTTGGTGGGGGGGGTAATGTGACTGGGTGGGCGTGGCCAACTTTTTTTTTTTAACTTTTCAAAGCATTTTTTCTAATGCTTTGAAAAGCCTCTGCCGATCAGGAAACTCAGCTGGGATCGTCAGAGAGGCATTTTAAAAAATATCTCTCTGCCGATCAGGAAACTCAACTGGGATGTCAGAGACTTTTCAAAGCATTTTTTAAACCACCTCTTCAGCCAAGAGGTTGCAGGAAAAAATGCTTTGAAAAGCCTCTGACTATCCCAGCTGAGCCACGCAATCATCAGAGGCTTTTTTTTTTAACTTTTAAAAGCATTTTTTCGTCAGAAGAGGTTGTAGAAAAAATGCTTTTAAAAGTAAAAAAAAAAAAGCCTCTGATGATCAGCTGGGCATGGTGGGGGGAGGGGCAGGGATTTTTGCTACCGGTTTTCTGAACCACCCACCGACATCACTACAGGATCGGGCGATCCGGTCTGAACCAGGAGCATTTCACCCTGGTTCACACCCCTTGCTGGCTGGATCTGGACATTACAAAGCAAAGCCTATATTTTGTAATTAATCCCGGTGCCCCATTTTGGCTGGCAGAGTGCTGCAGGAGGCTGAGTGCTGTCATGCCCCCTGGCCATGCCCACCCCGGCCACGCCCATCCTACCACACCCACCCAGCCAGTCATTAGGGCAGAGAACCAGTTGTTAAATTATTTGCAGCCCACCATTGCACTAAAGTGATTTTCTTTTACGGCATCTTCCTATATCCTATATATGTGCTATATGTTCCTATATATGTGCTTGTTTCCTTTAGCTGAATGGCTGGGATGAATTTCTTTCCTTGGGTAACTCTGTTGAGAGGGAATAATTTTGCATGCGCTTCTCTTTTTATTACGGAACTACTGTTTCTAGACCAAAGGAATGGTGTGTGTGTATACTGAACCAAGGTTTTATATGTAATATATAATTACATATGTATATGTATATATTATATATATAAAATCTTGGTTCAGTATATACACACACAAACACACACACACACAATTCCTTTGGTTTAGAAACAGTAGTTTCGTAATTTAAAAAAAAAAGATACATAAAATTAACACAATTGTTCTCAATAATACATGCCAGTTCCAGGAAAGGGTAACGTTCTTTTTTAAATGTACACAATCTGTTTTAATTCCTTTCCCACTACAGATAGTTACATTTTAATGGGTTTTTTTATGTTTTAACCGTGACTTTTTAAAAATATATTTACCATTTACTTCATTGTTGTACACTATCTAGAATCACTTTTTTGGTGAGATAAGCGGCTATATAAACCTGATAGATAAATATTTCCTTGCCCGTAGTTTGTAGGATCATTCACATTCCATTAAACAAAAGGCTGTGTTTGCTCTTTTCTATTCTTTTGGTACCACCTCACCAGTTCTCCAGATGTCTGCTGGTTTCTTTGCATTAATATCAGATTTGCATACAAGATCACTTTTGCCAGTTCCTTCAACACTCTGGAATTCAATTCACCTATTTCTGAGACTTGAATTCACTTAGGTTGGGTCTTGTGATACCAGGGGTGAAATGCTCCCGGTTCAGACTGGATCGCCGATCTGGTAGTGATGGTGGCGGGTGATTCCGAGAACCGGTAGCAAAAATCCCTGCCCCCGCCCCCATGCCCAGCTGAGCTGCGCGATCATCAGAGGCTGTTTTTTTCCTTTTAAAAGCATTTGTTCTACAACCTCTTCCGATGAAAAAATGCTTTTAAAGGTAAATTTAAAAAAGCCTCTGATGATCGCGCGGCTCAGCTGGGATCGTCAGTGGCTTTTAAAAGTGTTTTTTTCTGCAACCTCTTAAGGTTGTAGAAAAAATGCTTTTAAAAGTAAAAAAAAATGGCCACGCCCACCCAGTCACATTACCCACCACCACCAAGTCACGCTCACAGAACCGGTAGTAACGAATTTTACATTTCACCACTATGTGATACCTTTATTTAGTGCTGGACTTTCCTAAATCAGGTCAGGAAAGGCTTGTTCTCTTTTTCCCCAATGCAGAGAAAGTACTAAGCAGTTTTGCTTTCTCCTTATTCCCTATTATTTCCCCACGTAGCAGACCAGCTATTTTCTTCTCTTTTCAGACAATACTCAAAACATTCTCATTATATTTTGTATTCCTTGCCAGCCTCATCTCATTTTGAACTTTAGCCTTCCTGACTTCATCCTGACAGGCTCAAACTGTAAGACTGCATTTCTCCTTACTTATTAGCCTCTTTTCCTTTCTTATAATCTCTCTCTTTTTAGCTGTTGTTTTGTTTGCTTCTCAGCTTGTTAGGGAGCTCACTACTCATCCATACAGGCATCTTGAAGCTTTGCCATTTTCCCCCCTCTCATGGGGATTATTTATTTATGCATTTAAAACATCTGTTTACTGCATAAGCACTTTCCAGCAACATTCAAATAATTTAAACTTTAGGTTAAAAATGGATAAATAATGTAATGGTGAACTACATTAAAACATTATATGAATTATACAGAAGAAATTAAACAATAAAAAACAAATGTAAACTATCATAAAATATTAACACATTATTAAAAAATTTGAGATTAAAAAAAGCTCTTGGTGAAGTACCCCAAAATCCATAAAGAATCTGCTAAATTGTGCTCACACTGGAGAAAGTAGTTCGAGAAGGGCTTCCACTGGAAAGGCAAACACCCAAGAATACACCCATTCATTGCACTTCAGGGTGGGAAGGCTATGGGAATCTTAAAAGACGTATCTTAAAATATGAATAGAAATATGTGGGAAGAGACATTCCTTCATACAGTATATTGGAGAATCCAAGGGTTCCTGCCCTAAAAATGACAGCCACAACTGGACAAGTGAAGTCACATCCCTTTTTACATTTCTGCAATGTATGTGATTTAGAATGGAATGGAATGGAATGGAATGGAATGGAATGGAATGGAATAGAATAGAATAGAATAGAATAGAATAGAATAGAATAGAATAGAATAACAGAGTTGGAAGGGACCTTGGATGTCTTCTAGTCCAAGATCCTGCTTAGGCAGGAAACCCTATACCATTTCAGACAAATGTTATCCAATCTCTTCTTTAAAACTTCCAGTGTTGGAGCATTTACAACTTATGGAGGCAAGGTGTTCCACTAATTAATTGTTCTAACTGTCAAGACATTTCTTATTAGTTCTAGGTTGCTTCTCTCCTTGATTAGTTTCCACCCATTGCTTCTTATCCTGCCCTCAGAGAATAGCTTGACTCCCTCCTTTGTGGCAGCCCCTGAAATATTGGAACACTGCTATCATGTCACCCCAGCCCTTCTTTTCATCAAACTAGACATACCCAATTCCAGCAACCCTTCTTTATATGTTTTAGCCTCCAGTCCCCTAATCATCTTTGTTGCTCTTCTCTGCAGTCTTTCTACAGTTTCAACATCTTTTTTATATTGTGGCGACCAAAACTGGATGTAGTATACCAAGTGTGGCCTTACCAAGGCATTTAAAAGGCACAGGGCTTTGATTGCTCATCTGTGTCCAGTATTTTAAAGACAGTGACTATGGCTATGCTAGGACAGATTTACAGATTAGCGGAGTTGGAAGGGACCTTATAGGTCATCTAGTCCAATCTCCCGCTCAAGCAGGAGACCCTACACCATTTTTGACAAATGGCAATCCAATCTTTTCTTGAAAGTCTCAAGTGATGAAGCTCCCACAACTTTCGAAGGCAAGCTGTTCCATTGATTAATTGTTCTCACTGTCAGAAAGTTCCTCCTCATTTCCAGATTGAATCTCTCTGTGGTCAGTTTCCACCCATTATTCCTTGTCTGGTCTTCAGGTGCTTTGGAAAATAGCTTGACCCCCTCATCTCTGTGGCAGCCCCTCAAGTATTGGACACTGCTAACGTGTCTCCCCTGGTCCTTCTCTTCACTAGACTAGCCATGCCCAGTTCCTGTAACCATTCTTCATATGTTTTAGTCTCCAGTCCCCTAATCATCCTGGTTGCTCTCCTCTGCACTTTTTCTAGAGTCTCAACATCTTTTTTATAGTGTGGTGACCAAAACTGGATGCAGTATTCTAGATGTGGTCTTACTAGGGATTTATAGAGTGGTATTAGTGCCTCACTTGATCTTGATTGTATCCCTCAGTTAATGCAATTTAGGATTGCACTGTCTTTTTGGCTGCTGATGCACACTGCTGGCTCATATTTAGCTGGTTGTCCAATAAGATTCCAAGACCCCTCTCATAATCACTGCTACAATAATTTGTAACTTAGTTTTCAGTACAGGTAGTTCTCAATTTACAACAGTTCATTTAGTGACCATTCAAAGTTACAATGGCACTGAAAAAGTAACTTATGACTGTTTTTCAGACTTGTGACCAGTGCAGCATCCCCATAGTCACATGATCAAAATTCATATGCTTGGCAATTGATTCATATTTATGACAATTGCAATGTCCTGGGGTCATGTGATCAGCTTTTGTGATCTTCTTCTGACAAGCCAACTCAATGGGCAAGCCAGTTCACTTAACAAACTTGTTATTAACTGAACAACTGCAGTGATTCACTTAACAACTGTGGCAAGAAAAGTGGTAAAATGGGGGGGAAAATCACCTAACAAATGTTCCACTTAGCAATATAAATTTTGGGCTCAAGTCATAAATGGAGAACTACCTGTCTTTGATTTTCCATATTGCCCTAGCTTACCTTTAGAATTTCAAGCTTTAGGAAGTACAGTGCTCACCTTTCACTGAAAGCTGTCTTGCTCAAGTCAGAGATAATTGTCTTCTTTCAACTTTTTCTCCCCAAGTAAGGGACTTTTTCTCTCTCTAAGGAAGCAGAAAAATCTAGCTATTATTATATTTATGTGATCTTTAACTTTGTCCAAGCTTTGAGAGCTCTTCCAACTATCGCTGTGTATTAGAAAAATTTCTTTCATTGCAGTCTGCTTTGGAATTTAGAATTTATGAGTGAAAGTACAGAAAAATCTGCTGCATGCAAACGTTGTTTTGTTCATTGTAGTTTGTCCAGATTTTATATATAGGATAGACTGCCATTTATACATATATACAGTATGTACATATATTTGCACATTGAAATGCACATACATGCACAGAAACTTAAATAAATAAAATGTTATACAGAAAAGAAACAAAGCTTTCAGAATCTCATTTCCTGGGGTCGATTTTTCACTTTTCCTTTTGATCCAGAGTACATGCAATGATATATGTTGTCAGTATTCATTTTGTTTTAAACAAACCCGAAAAAGAAACAAGGCAAAGTTATATATGTACAATAAACCCTCAAGAGTGCAGCATTAAGTGATGATTTGCATATGTAAACTTATCAAGAACTAAATACTGCAGATGTAACTATTATTAAAACAGCTTTAATGAATTGAAACTGGAGCCATGGAATAAAATGTAATTTACTGATAATGCATACCAGTGGTGGCGAACTTCAGGCGAACCAGTAGCAGCAGCGGCGGGAGGCTCCGCCCATTCACCTGGACATCATCACGGACGCTCATAGTTCCAAACCAGTAGCAGAGGTAAGTAAAACCCACAACTGATGCATACATGTATAAATTAGTTTTCTTATGTGTCACAGATGTAGCTTTAGCCACTTTTTCAGTTAAGATATTTAAAGTTCCCTCTTGACTGATTTGGTCTTTCCCCTTTCTATTCAATAAGAGTCTACCTTCTGTTTTCTTGTTGAAAGAACTAAAGAATTATTGTCATCAATTGTCTTGAACGTTTAATTGTACAGGTATAATGCATGTTTAACAGAAATGTCAGAAAGATTTTAAAAGCATGCAACTAAGAAATAGAAATAAACATGTCTGAAAGAGTGAATTATATACAAACAATATAGCTAAGCCAAGGCAGAGCAACAATGAGCCATTCCATTGGTAGATGGAAAAGAAAAAAACAATGCATTGCTCATTCACTGCACAGAGATGCACACCATTTCATAACAGTTGGCTTTCTAGCAGTGCAGCAAATGGTGGGTGAAATCATTACCCGTTCACATTTGAATCAAAAATAAATAAATAGAAAGTTTTTAAAAAGCATGCCAGGTTTTGAAGTGCTCAATATTTGTTTTATAAAGCAGCAGGTTCTTTATACAAATGATACTACCTTGTTTTGGCGCTATCTTTAATAAATGTAATCTTCCCTTTTAATTGTCCTTTTTAAAGAAATATTTTTTTTAATGTTGTATTGCAGTGTTAACAACCACAGAGACATAGTGGTACCCTAAATTTGCAGACAATTAACTTTTGAATGCATTTTTTTCATGGGGTATTAAAGAAATGTTATGTAATCCAAATCAGTCAGTCAGTCAGTCAATTTCTATACCCGCCCAATTCAAGCAAGTGATGCTATGTTACCAAAGAAGTCTGACATCTATAAGGGTTGAAGTTGGTGAAGTGGGAAGTAGCCTTGCTCAGAAAGAGCAATTATATAAACATGCAAAAAGTGCATTCCAGTCTTAAGAATGAGGGTGGGGGATGGGTGACCAATGCCAAAGGAAAAGGCTTCAGTTTTAAAACCTGGTTTGATTCTTCCCCTGGCAAATTTTCTAGGCAGATATGCCTTCTCTCATCTTCAAATAAACCACATAAATTTGTTAAGCTTCATCTCTTCTATAGTTCTTGAATGTGGGATTGAATCTGTCTAGGGATATGAGAGTAATAACTGTAAAGAGTTTAAAATCTGACACGTTCCTTCAAGGACAACAGCATATACTTGAATAAGATAAGAGAAAGCTTTAAAAAGTAAGACATGGACAACCAGTTTATTGTAGTAGTTAAGGCAGGAAGCTACACTAGGAGACTGTGAGATCTAGTCTTTTCTTAGGCACAAAGCTAGCTGGGTGACCTTGGACCAGTTGCTTGTTCTCAGCCTTAGGAAGGAAGCAATGGCAAATCACCATATCATCAAAACTCAGGACATGTGCAGGCAGTCACAGGAAAGGAGGAGAGGAGAGGAGAGGAAGCACTAGGTGAAAGCAGAGCCAAAACATATTAGAAATACTCATTGTCTGACACACTTCCTATCTCTTCCAAGTAGCAAGCTGTAAGGAATGGATAATTATATCTTGACAAAAGTCTGAACAGATTGCATGAACAAGAGAAACAAGTGTATGAAATTAGGTCATGGGACTAAATTTTATTCCACCCTACAATATTTTCATTTGTTAACTCGGTCACCATCTCCTAAATTTTGATTGCTTTTATTGGACTTGGAACCTTGTCTGAATCCTGAATGACAGGTATCTATAAACTATAGAAAGAAGAATTATTCCAATGGATTTTCAAAAAAAAAATAGGAGTAAGATTAAATCAGCCTTCTGCAATGATCTGTTTTGATTGAAGCTGAGTATCTAACACATCAAAAGATATGTGGTCAGGAAAGTCCACCTACATTAAACCAAAGGGATGATACAATGAAACCTATGTCTTCCAATAAAGTAATATTGAGATGTTGCTTTGAGAAAGAAAGTTTTTTAAAATGTATTCTGATGTATCACTGTAACAAAAATTCAGTTTACCTTCTGCCAATACTGATAACAGTATCTGTGTCCTAATGACATACAGAATTACAAACTAACCCCCCAAAATTCATTTAACTAGTTAAATTCATTCACATGTTAGCTTATAGTCTTATGTGTTTCTAAAATGGAAAATTGGATTATTTTCATCAATCATATGGGTGAAAAACTCTGGCCTTCAGAAAGAGCATTAAGACCTACCTCTACCAATTGGGATGTGTTAGAATGATATCCAACTGTGGGAATGTTCTTTTTACCTTTCTAACTTTTTAACTTTTCATTCTGTAACTTTACCTTTTAATTTTTTTTAACTTTGTTCTTATTTATGCTTTTATACTATGATATATTTTTATTATAAGACCCAAAATTGTTTAGGTGAGATGGGTAATAGACATGTAACAAATAAGTAAATAAATAAATACAGATAACATCTAGTACGGGGGCAGGTCAACTGTCTTCCAATAATAGAGTGCAATGGCTATAACTGATATTTGAGCCCACTTCTTCTGATGTAGTCCCGCTCTTGCATCTAATTTGTTTTTCATTTTTAAGCAATGCTAAGGTGGCCCTGTACATGTTTTAATTTAAACTTTATAGGCTTAAATTTACAGTCTTTTTACAGTTTTAGTAGTGTAAAATTATAATCTAGCGTATTTTAATTACAGTGAAATAAAAATTCCTCTCAACTCTGCTCTACCACAAAATACCTTGCAGATTCAAATTGTACCATGGCTTCACTTTAAGCATATTTAAAAAGGTCATTTGATGAAGATTCATATAAATTAGCAATCTTGTTTTCAACTATTGCAAGCCAGATTTTTCAGGAAAACCACACAGCAAGGTCTGAGGGCAACAAACTGTGCCATCAACCACATCTGGACAATTATATTTTAGCTTTGCAAGATGAGCTGTGAATGCTGCCACTTTATTCCATCTGTCACATGGATACTCAGAATGAGACATGTTCAGTTAACTATGGTTTCCCATTTCATCCAAATGGGGGGAAAAATCTTATTAGATTTATATACTATTCCAGTCATCAACTGTTTCTGAGTAGTTTATAGTCATACCATACCTAAACAAAATAAAATATTCCTATGCCAAAGAATCATAAAAACTCATGTAATCATATACACCTACACAGGGAGAATCTAATGATATGAAACCAATTAAGGATTCTAAATCAAGTTTTGTAAATTTGGGGGGGTGTCAGCTTGGAGAATGATTTTATCAAGCACACATTTCTCACAATGCTGTTGTCATTAAATTCTTCTTTTTATGCCAGATTTGGAACTTGTAGTTCAATTATTGGCTTTTTAATCTGTTTAATCTCTTCTTCACAGGAAACGGTTTTAAACATGGCAGTTTCATGCTTATAGCACTATCTTCTTTGAATATATTTAATCTGTTTTTGAAACCATCTAAGTCTGTGGCCACTATAATCATTTTTTCTGGAAGTAAAATGGGAATGTTGGTGATCATAACTTCATAGCATGAAACTTCCATGCCTATCCCCAATAATTTGAACTGACTGGATATGTTAATTCTCCTTATATTGATGCTTATTTCTCTTTACCATTGGACAAAAACAAATTTGCTGTCAGACTAAGAAAAAAAATCATTGCTTGCATGGCAAAAAAACCTCAGTAAAATTTACTTTTAATGAGATTGCATAGTAATTTATCCATTGTGCTACTTTTATTGAACTTATTTATGTCCATTATACTTTACAGTTTCTATTAGTAGCTGTGAAGTAGCTAATAAAATCCTAGCCTTCCTTTCTGCATGATAACTCCATTCCACCTGGTAAACTGCATAAAAACAGGGAATTAAAAAGATTGAAAATGACCTCACCTACATTCTATGGAAATGGGAAACATTGTCAACTGGATCCTCAAAATTGCTCAATGCACTGTATAATATAATATTAATATACTATAATATACTATAGTATATTACTAATAAACTATACTATAATGTTAAGATGAAGTACAGCAAATGAGAATGACCTGCCTGCTAGTAGTTGTAGTAAAATGGCTGAAAAGACCTGTTCATCCTGGCCAATCCAGTTCAGGATCTTCTTTCCAAGACAGGAAATCATTACCATTTAGAACATACTTCAACTGATTTTGTATTGCAAAAGTCCTCTTGACAACCCAGAGAATTAGTATGATGTAATTAACTATTAAAGTGTTGAACTAGGACTGGAGATATCTAGGTTCAAACCCCATCATGAAATTGATCCTCTTCGAATCACCATTTTACATTGTATAAT